AGAGAAAGAGAGAGAGAGAGAGAGGGGGGGAGAGAGATGAAGAGAGTATCTTTTCTAAATAAAGATACTGATCTGTCAGAAATATAATATATTATATTTTGATAATTCTTTATTTTCAGAAATGAAGGGCTACAGGAAAAGGGCCTTTTAATTGAATTTCCTAGTCTGAGAGATTCACTGTCATGTTCACCACGGATATCAGATGTTGTACCAAACAAGTTAGTATGTGAACTTTTTTCATGTAATTTTGATTTATAATTAAACAGGTGAATGATGATGATTGTTATATTTATTCTTATTCTTTTTATATTCACTAGCAGAATAGGGAAAACATCACAGAAACAGTCAAAAAAAAATTCTTCAAGTGGAACTGCTTTGGAAAAGAAATTACCAGGAAAAGACCCAAAGCAGAACAAGACCACAGGCAGTTCACCATGGGGTCAGTCATCACCTCCAGCTTGGGGTTAGTGCAATTTGTTTATTTACTCACCTATTTTTTCAGAATCCTGTTAGTGATTGAATTAATGTATTTATAAATCAAATCCAGTGGCAAATATTGTTCTGGTTAAAAAAAAAGCTTACATGCTTCTTCACAGGGACAGACAAGGATCAGTCAGGAATCATCAGCAATGTTAAAGGTATGCAAACATTAGCAGATATTATGAAAGCTGAGGAGGCATCACAGAAAGAAAAAAATATGGAGACAACCACTCCTATACCTACCCAGAAGAGCAAAACATCTCAAACAGTAGCAAATATAAAGAAATGGTAAGAATATTGTAAATGACAAATAATAAATGAAATTATGGAAATATTCAAGAATATTATATTAGTTAACAAAAATACTTTTAATCTAATGCCTAAATAGGATTCACACACACACACACACACACACACANATAATGTGTGTATATATCTATATCTATTATCTATCTATCTATCTATACATAATGTATATATATATATATATATATATGAATATAAAGAAATATATATGTATATATGTATTAAAAAAAATGAATCTTCTATCGAATAATACGTGGGGGATATATTTAGTATTAATTCCGTTAATTTCTTAATTAATTATTTTTTTTTGCATGAAAGAAAAAAAATCTCGAAAAGTTGAATTCCGTCCAAATCCACGAGATTAAATTATCTGAATTAAAACTGATTATCTGAATTAAAAATAATTATATCAGGATTAATGATAGTGATTTTTTTTTTGTCAATATATCAGTTGAGAGTTTTAGGAAAATTATGTTTGTTATTATATGCTTATATTGGCTGCCAAATGTTGCAGAATTTAGACTTTTTCATAGAGTTTACGTAAAGGAAAAACTTACAGGAAAAACACACACACACACACACACACACACACACACACACACACACACACACACACACACACACACTCACTCGCACACCACACACACACACACACAACAACACAACACAACACACACACACACACACACACACACACACACACACACACACACACACACACACACACACACACAACACACACACAACACACCACACACACAACACACACACACACACACAAAAGGTACAATGTTGCAAGGTGAAAATAATTTGTGCCGAAGGGTCTACTGCCGTTCTGGTCATACTAGCAACAAGATATTTACTAATATGGGTGTGTCGATAGTCTGATTTTGTGACGTCATAAGTTTTAGATTATTTACCAATTTTTAGATTTATTAATTTATCTTATTTTCTATTCATTTATATAAAAAAAGAAAAAAAGAAAAAGAGAAAGAAAGAAAAAGAAAAAGAAAAAAATTATATATATATATATTGTTTCTTTTTATTTTTATTTTTTTTTTATTTTTATTTTTTATTTATATTTTATTTATTATTTTCAGACGGATTAACTTCAAACAATAATAAAAAATATTTATCAAGAGACACCGCTCTTCAAAATCCTTCTCTCGTGTTTTATTCTCATTATTCTCCTTTGCGTTCCTCTCCAGGCTCTTTAAAGGTCCCTGACCCGAACAAGGAGGCTTCGGGTCAAGACAGTGCTTCCCGTCGCGATAGATTTCCCTCAGAAGTCGGGGTGGGGTGGGGGGAAGTGTCGCCCTTACCGCCGATGCCACAAAATCACCTGTTGTGTGGGCGGCGTCTCAGATAGGGGGGGGGGGGCGTCGGAAAGCGAGGTAGAGAGAGGGGGTACCTCTTCTTTCGTTTTTTTTTTTTCTTTCTTTTTCTTGCTTTCCTCATTTTATCTTTGGTATCTCTCTGTCTCTTTGTGTGTCTCTCTCTTTGCCTCTTTTTCTTTTCTTTCTCTCTCTGTCTCTTTGTGTCTCTCTCTGTGCCTCTTTTTCTTTTCTTTCTCTCTCTGTCTCTTTGTGTGTCTCTCTCTGTGCCTCTTTTCTTTTCTCTCCCTCTGTCTCTTTGTGTGTGTCTTCTCTCTTCTCCTCTCCTCCCCCTTCCCTCCCTCCTTCCTCCTCCCCATTCCTCCTCCCTCTCCCTCCCTCTCTCTCCCGCCACAGAATCACCTGCTATGCGGTCGACCCTCCCCGCAAAAAGAATCCCCATAAATAGAGTTAGAGAGAAACCACTTAGTCCCCTTTCTCTCATCGGCGGCGTCTGACTGAGCTCGACGTGCAGTTACAAACAACGGAGGCGATACCCCTTGGAGGCGGCGAGGCAGAAGTGGTGGGCGGTGATGGGCGTGGGATAGAAGGGAGGGAGGGAGGGGCGATAGGTGGTGAGGGAGGGAGGGATGGAGGGAGTGAGTGAGAAAGGAAAGGAAGGAGGAAGGAAGGAAGGAATGAAGGGAGGGAGGAAGGAATGGAGGGAGGGAGGAAGAGAGGTGGGAGGGAGGAAGGAATGAGGATGGAAGGGAGGGAGGAAGAATGGAGGGAGGGAGGGAGGAGGAAGAGAGGTGGGAGAGAAGGAGAGAAGGAGGGAGGGAGTGAGAAAAGAAGAGAGGGAGGGAGGGAGGTGCGGGGTGAGGGGGGGGGGGGGCGTAAACAAACGAACGGGGAGATGAATGAGCAATGAAGGGGGTCGTTTTCTGTGCAACTGCAAGGTCATCTGATCCTACTTTTGCAATTATACTCATCACTCTCCTTAAATCAGTCAGTCTATCTATTTGTATGTCTGTCTATCTGCTTGTCTGTTTCTATGTCTTTCTGTCTGTCTGTCTGCCTCTCTCTCTCTCTTTTTCTCTCTCTCTCTCTGTCTCTCTCTCTTCTCTCTTCTCTCTCTCTCTCTTCTCTCTCTCCTCTCTCTCTCTCTCTCTCTCTCTCTCTC